ACTTTCAAATTTCAGAGTATTATTTAAAAAATCAAAACCTTATTTTGCTACTTCACTCTGTATTTTTCAGTTGACAGCTAGGAAATTGACAGGTAGCAACTGTTTACAGATTAGCCTACATTCAATTTCACCTTATCAGTCTGTTACCTACATCCCTTCCCTGTGAGAGCTGAAACTAACAAGGCCATTGACAAGATGAGCCTACATGCATCATACACTTATAAGTGTGCACCTATGAAAACCTGGCATCCCCCTCCTGCATGATATTTACACGTTTTTCTGGGACTTTTTAAAAGGTGGCAAACCAGTATCAGCTGCTTCACAATGCTGCTGAGGCATCATTGGAGAGCCAGATGCCAGCTGTGACACAGGTGAAATTGTGAAAGGTGGGGCCTTGCAGCTCGACTTACTAACCAGTCCACCAACCAACAATGAAATAACAGGTTGGGTGATACCCATTGTGGGGGGAACAAGCCATGGGTTGCAAGGTTGACTTGCAGCCCAAAAATCCACTTTGATGGAAGTGGTCTAGGTTTAGATGAAATGACCACCCACAGACCCAGTCTATGTTAATTATGCTTATTGAATTACTTGATATAATCTCATGGAATCCTATCTTGCAACTAAGTCCTTTCAATAAATACTCTTTTAGTAAAGTGTATAAGGCTTTTAAGTCCTCAAATGACTTTCAGAATGTTTCTTAAATTCACTTGGGGAGAGAGAAAATCCAACCAACTTCTACCAGAACACTGGTGTATGCCTTTTGAGGTAAATGTTTTTTAAATCACATAAGCTGTTAGGGAGTTATAGACACTAATGCATTTACTAGATCTTGTGATTTTGTTTTTATTGCCACTTCAACATGATAACATGCCTGTGTGTTTGTGTTCAGCTATTCTAGACAGCTTTAAAAATAATCAAATTTCAATCCCTTTCAGCTAGGACAACATACCATTGCAAATTTGTGTCCATCTTGTTCACTTGATGACAGTCTCTCTAAGTGATTAGCCCCCTTGGGAGTTCTTGGTTTTAAGCTTACATGAAAAAAGTAAGAAAGAGAATGAGTCTAAGCTGCCCAAAGAAGTGGCAATATGCCTACACCTTTGCAAGTGTTGCAGTGACATCCAGTCAGTTCTTATATCATCAAAGGACTCTGCAGCATATTGATACTTTAAGATAATCAGCAAAGTAATTGTGGGGGGGTAGGGTTAGGGTTCAAAAAATGGAAATTTGAATAAACACTGTCAGTATCAACAACTGTGAATTATTTTCTTTTTTTGAATGAGTAAAATGGTATAACTCATATGCAGTATGAAGATTTCTCCATAAGCATTAAAGAACATTGCATAACGTAACAAAGCATAACGTAAGCATTAAAGAACTTCTGTGTACATTGCAGAAGATATAGACAACAAATTAAAAAACCATTTCTGTAAGAGGAAAATACCATGTTTATGCGAGGAGGATGCTTGGTCATCAGTTGGTGAATTGCTAATTGTCACCACAAAATGACATTTGAATTCTTTCAATGCCAAAAGTACTATCCTGTTACTCACTGCCTTCAGTTGTACCAAAGTGGAGCTTTATTTCTATACACTTACCTATGGGTAAGCCTGATAGACCTCAGTTAACTTTTCTTTTTAGTGGTTATGGTTTTCATTTTATAGGATTGCACTGTGAGGCATTTACACTTCTGAGACTGTGATCACCTGTCTACTTACTTGGAAATAAGCTCCCTCAAACAGAGAGGGTGTCTTATTTGTTATGCATTGTTATTTTTATAAATGCATTTCGGTTCTTCCCAATATTTCTAGTTTTTCCCTAAGAAACTTCCAGGAAAAAATGTGGTGGTAGAGTATTACATGGCTTGAAAATTTTGAGAAATTCTGTAAGTGCATGTGCTTGTCACCTTTAATACAATATTTGTATGTGCTACCCTTCTGATGTGAGAATGAAGGCTTTGAAAGGGGCAATTCTCAAAGGCATACAGTCTAGACTGGGTAAAATCTGAGCTACACAGACTATAAGAGTTTCTTGTCTGCTTGTCCACAGCAATTGTTCATAGATTGTCATAAGGTCACACAGTAGCACACTTTGACTTGTATCATGAATAAAATGAAAAAGATCTTTAAAGAAGGTAAATTAAAAATTTTATTTGATACCTGACCATAATTTACAATTTTATACTGTTAAATATATTTGGAAATGGCTGCACATTCTTTAAAATATCTATAAATCTGATTAATTCCAAATGAGACTTGGAAAATATTAGTCTGTCTTTATGCAAATTGATTACTACAATGTTTAAAGTCAAATGTATGTTTACTTGACAGTAAATCCAGATTATTGCAGTGTGACTTAAACCCCATGCAGGCATTCTCCAGAGGCAGTAGGACTGTGCTGCTCCCCCAGCCCATCTGTATGATGCACACCTTCTGGGTATGCATCTCTCTGCATAAGAAACATCTACCTATGAAAACCTTCTTATTCACTGGAATAAAGCAACAACATAATTTAGCTGTCAAATGTGTGATGTTAATAAAAGGTAACAAGAATATTCAAAATAATTTGACTCAAAACATGTAACCCTATAATTTCTAAGGATTGTGCATGAAATACAGTAAGAGACTCTATCCACTACCTTGTTATTAAATCTTCTGCCTCCCAGTGATTTCACAGAAAATTATGAACATCACATTTCTTATGACACCAAGAGAAACATTTTAAGATCTTGATATTGAGTATCCAGCATGTGGGGGGTTTTTTTTGGGGGGGGGGGGAGTTGTTTGCTTGTCCTCCCATCACAGGAGAGCAGTGGAGGCTGGGGAAGGATTAAACTTCCCTTCCCTGCATGCTGCAGCTCTTGTCCAGATCAGAGTTTCTATGATAGGTTTTTTAAAAACCCAACCTATCTAGTACTGCATTGTTTAATGTGTGTGCAATTCAGTCCTAAAATGAAAGCAATGTTGGATTTAAATTCCATCTCTGTGTAGATATCAGCAACCATTTGTGGATGTTCAGGAAGAGTGGCCATTGCCACACATGACATCCTGGCAAGATGAGAAGTAGCAGTTGCACATCTCCCTGCTCCATTCTCTGTGCACAGAATAATTGCTTGAATAACAGCTCTTGGGATTAAAGCTTTCAGGAGTTACTAAATTTGCTACCTTGTCAGGATCCTTTAATTTGGAGAATTGATTAAATACTTGAATGTCATACATGCCAGAGTAAGTGGAAGCAGTTTCTTCCTTACCTTTCATTATTATGCTTGTGAAAAAGGTTTACACCAACTCAGCTGTATACGATTTGCATTATTAATGATATTGTTTCTTACCTATGTTACTGAAGGTGGCATAGATTTGCTTTAAATTGACAAAAGAAGTTCACCTATAAAATACCTTGAAAATATTACCTTTAATATTGATAGGAATGAAAACAAGGCTCTAATGAAATATGCATTACCAAACAGCTATCTTCATATTCTCCACCCATTTTAATCTCAGAAATATCCTTTTCAGCAGCCTAGATTCAGTATGGCATTTTATAGCAATCTGGCAAAATCAGTGGCCATGTTATATACTCCTTGAAGAAGTACTACGTAAAATATATTTCATGAATCTATGTTTGGGGAGAGCATGACTACCCCTTATTATTCTATTCTATTTTTCTACTCAGTCCTAGAGCCTCAAGGCAGCTCACAACAGTAAAATACCATACCAAATAGCATTAAGATACTTAAAAATCACTTTAAATCCAATTCCAAATAACATCACCTCTAGAGACATTTTCAAAGCAAAGGGCTACTTCCAAATGAGTAGAAGGGGACCTACCATATGGGTTTCATGAGGGAGAACATTTTATTAAAGCTGAACTGTTACTGAAAAGGCATTGTTCCTGGTGGAGCTTTAAAAGTCAATAGCATAACTATGAACTGAGCTCAGAAACAAATGGTTAGTTAAGCTCCATATTCAGCATAGGCCATGCTGCTGGTAGTGAGTTAGACGGTAGGCAGCTGCATTCTGGCCCAACTGATGTTTCCAATTGTCTTTCATTAAGGTTAGCCCTGCACAGTCCACCTTGGCTTAAGCTGGAATTATTAAAGTAGATTTGAGAGCTGCAAGATGCATTCCCCCAGAGCAGGAAAGGTTGACAATGCAGCTGAAGCTTCTTTTTCAAGTGACTCTTCTTTGTGTATCTTCACTGGACTGAAATGGGATGTTTCTCAGTGTTTCCATTTTAGCTTTCATGTACTTTATGAATGTGTCATATTTTACTTTGTTTCTATGACATGGTTTAAAATTTGTATTTATGCTCTTCTCAGTTGGACTGTGCTGTTTCAGTAGCTGCAGCAGCTACCAGAAGCTCATTAGGGCTGGTGAACCTGTGGCCCTTCAGATGTTGTTGAACTCCACTCTCCCTGAGCCCCAGCCAGCCTTGCCTGTGATGAAGGGAGATGAGGTAATAATTCAACAACATGTGGATGGACACATTTCCCCCAGTTGTCTTTTAAAAATATTTATGATTAATACTGGAGTAAACGGTATCTTGAATGGCACACCTGGCCCTTAAGGAACATTACAACCCAAGCAAACAAAAATACTTTCCTGCTGAGTTAGGTTTCCTGCTATCAAAATTGCTTCATATCATAATTCAGCTTCATTTTATTTGCCTTTAATATAGCCACCTCAGGACTGCAGGTGGCACAGTGGTTTAAACCGCTGTGCTGCTGGGCTGGTTGATCAAAAGGTCGCTGGTTCGAATCTGCACAATGGAGCGAGTTCCCCTTGTTCCGTCCCAGCTCCTGCCAACCTTGCAGTTCGAAAGCATGCAAATGCAAGTAGATAAAAAGGTACCACTTCGGTGGGCAGATAACAGCGTTCAGTGCACTTTGGTGTTTAGTCATGCTGGCCACATGACCATGGAGACTGTCTGCGGTCAAACACTGGCTCCCTCAGCTAGAAATGGAGATGAGCACCGCCCCCTAGAGTCAGGCATGACTGGACATAATGTCAAGGGGAAACCTTTACCTTTATAGCCACCTCAGTTTTTGATGTTAAAAGAACCTACTCTCTTCTGGATCCAGTGAATAAGGAGATGCCCATTTCTTTCTTCAGTGAAAGGCAGCACCTCACCCACTGCTCTGTTTAGCAGGTAGCACATAACAAATTAAATAGAAGGGGAGAGGGAAAGTAATTTGGAATGTTGCCAAGAAATTCCATGAAGAACAATCTCCTTCATTTTCTCTGTTCAGTCCAGAAGGGTATACTAGCCAACAGTATCAGAATCTATCAAGAACTCTAGAAGGATTAGCAGGGTCACAATCCCCCATGATCATCTGGGCATGAGTAGAGTAACCACCAGGTAATCTCAGCTGATAACCAGCTGAAAAACTAAATTCAATAGAACTTTATTAAGCTACACTGTCCATGGTCACTTGCAGTTAGGCTCCTCTGTATGCATGATAACTTCCTCCAGATCCACAGAGTTTTAATGACAGTCTGATCAGGCTTCTTGAATAGTGGTTGCCACTGCTATAAGCAGAAAGAGCAGATTATCACAGCTGGTCTTCACTGTCCATGAAGATTAAGAACTGAGTTTGTAAGAGAGTAGTTGTATTTTTCCAAGAATCTTGTTGGCTTCCCCAGCTATGAACTACTGAAGTTTGTTGACACTGCCTGGTGTTTGGCCACTGGGAGAGCAAATGGGACAACAGCCTCAGGCAACTTCCCATGTAGTATATCAATTGGAGCACTGACAGAACAACCTCTTGTGCCAGTTTGGACATCCAGGTTGGCTATCTGAAACCTAACTGAATCAATTAAGGTTCTATTTGTGCATGTACCTTGACTCCTGAATATGAACCTTCAGTGATCTGGCTATATTGGAGTTATAACAGGCATAAGCACACACAGCTTCCTTCTTCATACACTACAAAATGGCTGCTTTCTTTTGGCAGAGCTACGTTCAATCATTTTATTTAGGTTGAAGATGATACAAAAAGGGGGTCACAATGCTATGTAGGTGCTGATAGTTCTCTTAACAGTCTTACCTTGCCAAGCAATTGCTGATCTGTCATTTTTGCCCATCCAATTCCAACTGCTATCATCACCTCCTCTTGTTGGAGAAACAACCTATACCCAGTCTCAGCAAGACATTTTAGCGATATGAAGAATGTCCATAGTACTGTGAGCTTCCTTTATATATTATATCTCTCTTCAGCTTTAGGCTTTTCCTAGCCATGTTATATGCTATAGGTATGGCCCCCAACATGGCATGTGAATTGCCCTGGTGCCCACAGAAGCATACTGTGACACACCCCAGATAATCCAATCCTCTCTGCATGCCATTGTTTACTAAATGATAATCTTCTGTTTTGCTGCCTGTTGTTAAGTGCGGTCAAGTTATCTCCAATGTAAGATGAACTTGGTTGTCTCTAGAATGCCCTGTCCATGACAGCTTTGTTCTGCTGTTGTGAATTCAAGACAGTGACTTCCTTTATAGAGTCAACCGATCTCACATTTGGTCTTCCTCTTCTTTTTCTGCCTTTGACTCTTCCTAGCATGATTGTCTTCTTCAGGGAGTTTTGCCTTCTCATCATGTGCCCAAACTATGACAACATCAGTTTTACCATTTGTGCTTCTAGGGAAAGTTCTGGTTTAATTTAATCTGGGACTCACTTGTTTGTCTTTCTGTCAATCCAGAGTAGTTGCAAAGCTCTTTTCCAGCACCATGTTTTGAATGCATCATTTTCATCTTGTCAGCTTTATTTGCTGTTTAGGTTTCACACCCCTACATGATGATTGGGAATACAATAGTGTTGCTGACCTTGACTATGCTGTCCAGTAAAACATTCCTATACTTGATAATCTTTTCTACTTCCTTCCAAATCTCAGTCTTCTTTTAATTTATTGGCTGTAGTCTCCATTTCAATTGGTGAGCAAGCCATGGTATGCAAAATCTTTCAAAATTTCATGTTCTTCATTGTTAATAACAAAATTCTGTAATTCTTCTGTGGTTATTGTTTTTATTTTCTTAATGTCCATCTGCAGTCCCACTTTTGTGTTTTCTTCTTTCTCATTTATTGGGAGTCATTTCAATTCGCTGCTGCTTTCTTCTAGTAAAATGGTGTCATCTGCATAAGGTTACATATCAGGACAATGACATGCAGAGGCACATCCATATAAGTCTATAAAGAAAGTCTGATGTTCTTCTCAAATTCTTTGGTGCACACCAGTAGCCAATGAATATTTGCGACATGAAAATACCTCTTCCCTTTCAGAATCCATCTGGAACATCAGGCATTTCCCACACTATATAGGGTAATATTCTTTCTTGCAACACTTGGAGCATCACTTTGCTTCCATTGACAATTAGTGCAATGGTCCTGTGGTTGCTGTGCTCTTTTGCATTTCCTTTGCTGAGGATAGGATTTTTCCAGTCTATGGGTTATTGTTTTGTGTCCCATATTTGTTGGCATATTCTTGTTAGGATTTAGACTAATTCATTCTCTGCAGTTCAGAATAGGTCTATTGGTATCCTAGCCTATGCCTTGCTCTTTCCTAGTGCTTTCAGAGCAGCTTTCACTTTCTAATGTTGCAGGCTTTTCTTTATAGGATTCCTCTTCAAAGGAGTCTGTCATCCTTCCAAGTGCCCCCTGTCCTTTGATTTCTTGGATCTTCTAGAATAGTTCTCTTGTTTTTCCTCTTTTGTTGTTCTAATTCTAAACTCTGCTGCCTGACCAGATTTTTTTTGTCTTCAGTGGCTGCATCCCCCTCACATCTGATGCACATATTGCAGCTGCCATTGGCTTTTGGACTGGGAGAAAGAGGGAACAGAGTAAGTTGAGCAATGCCAGCCTAGTGTGTTGAATGCATGAAAGGAGAAAAGGCAGACAGCAGTCCAGGGAGGAATATGTGGGGTCACACATGGTTAGGAAAACAAATACTAGTAATAAGAAAAGCGACCACTAGAAAGAGGGCTGAAAGGAAGAGAAACTGGGGCCTTGAGAAGGTCTTGAAAAAGATGCTGTTTTCCTTTCCTTTTCTTTTTACCCTCTTCCCCACTTCTTGCCACTTTCTACAACATATTTTATTATTAATTTTTGTTCTTCTCCCCCTTTGTTTACTATTATCTTGCTTTCTTTCTCACCATCTTCCCTTTCTTCTTCTGGTATTTTATTTCCCTTCCGCTTCCTTCTTTCCTTTCTTCCATTCATTCTGCATGGTTCTGGAGGTTTTGTCTTTGTTCCAATCCCTTCACTTGCTAAGGAAATACAGCAAGGGAAAAGTCTGTGTGTACTTGTGTGTGCATGCACGTGCACACACATGAGTGATAGGGTGAATGAGAAAAGTAGCCACAACTGATGAAATTCCTTCATCTGCATAACTATCAAATTTGCAAGAGACCTTTCCTCTTTCACAGCTCATGTTGTTTACAAAGTATACAGAACAATCAATTAAACTCTTCACTAGTCACTAACACTGTAAAATGTATAAAAATACAATACAAGAACTCAGCCATCCAATTAAAAGTTGGATAACAAACTGTATAGCAGCCTAAGCAATACTTAGATTTGTTCAAAAGGAAAAAAATTCTTTAAAAGAGTCAGGTTTTCAGCAGTCCATGAAATCTATTTGGAATGGAGAAGTATGTATAGGACTAAGCCGTTCAAAATATCCAGGACTCAAGACGCTTTCAGACTTTAAAGCTGGAATGGGGAAATGTGATCCTCTAGAGAGTGTAGGCTCCAGCTCCCATCAGCCCTACCCAGGATGGTTGGAGCTGCACTCCAACATCATCTGGAGGAGACCCATTCCCTAACCATAACCCTAACCCAACACTACTTTAAAGGTTAGTATCTCAAACTTTTATTTGGACTCTATAACAAATAGGCAGTTAGTGCAATGTTTTTGAACCAAGAGAGAAGTACAGTTGGATTGGTAGATGCTAATAAGAGTATACAGCTTTTCTAACAAACTGTCTTCTGCCACCTTACTGCAGTTCTGCAAATAAATTCACAAATATAGCTCTCCTATAAAGTTAATAGCCACCTTGTCCACACATCATTGTGTTAACATTCATGGTATGTCAAGAGTTTCTCTGTTCAGACCCACTTGATTCTTGACTCTTTGGGATCATTTCCATGTATATAAATACATGTATAAATGAATTTCACGCATCAGAACCACCATGTAACAGCAGAAGTCAAATGGTGTTCAGAGGTGGGGAACCATGCTTGGAAATACCTGACTTCATGTGCAATTCCTGCATAAAGTGCCAGTGTTCTCCTGATAAGTACAGATTTAAACCACAGGAACAAACAAATCTAGAACGGGTCTGTGACTTGTACAGCCCCAAAGGCTAAAGGGGTGTTCAGTGGGTAGCCACAATCTGCACATTATGTATGGCTCTCAAATAGGTGCACACACATGCACACACAAGTCTTCTACTAAAGATCACTGTGATGGAGAGGAATTTTAACCTTGTCCCCATCCCAGTAACACTGCCTCCTCTAAGAAGAGCTGCCAGAAAATGCAGTGGTAAAGAGGAACCTTTAGCCCCACTTCCTAGCATGGCAAATATTACTAGGAAAAAAGGCATGCAGGAATTATTGGCTTCATGCACGGCTTTTCCTGGTAGTGCTGAAAAGATGGGTTGCATGCACCCTGTTCCCCAGTGGAATCATTTCTGATAGGAAGAACATGCAAGGAGACTGAGAACAGAATGTTTGTATGAACTGGGAGACTAGGGAAGCTGTAGTAGGCTTCATTCAGCCTACCCCTGATTTAGAATCTGAAGTCTAAAACTTTTGCAATTTCATGAGGCCTTAATCAGGACAATCAATGGGAAAGGATTTATGTGTATCTTTATGCATTTCCTTGCATTTCTGGCCAGATCTATTATGAATAACATTTCATATAATGGTGTGATTATACTGTGGGCAAACATTTTACTATCTCCCTAGCAGTTGTTATTAAATCAGTATATTTCCCCTTAATTTTAGATATCTAGTACATTTCATAAAATCTGTTTTCCATGTGATGTTATGCTCTGCAAGCTAAGCATTCAGTTGTGCCTGCCCCCCACCCACACACATACTTTCAGATTACTTTAGGTTTAGAAATTGTTTTTTTTTAATGTTGTTTACACAAGGTCATTTCCTTGTTATCAAGCATTACATTCCAAATAGCACAATTTTACAAAGAGAAAAGTTAAACTTAAATGAGCTTTCCTCTGTATCCTAGCAACAGGCTATGGTACACTAGTAAAAGTTGATAGATAAAAGTATGGAAAGTAAAAGAAAATCCTGAAGAGTTTAGGGAAATGCTAGTTAGATTATGGAGGAAGCATCTGATCAGGTCTTACATTGAAGTTCATAATGAACAATAAGCATAAAGGATTTTTTAAAATATAGGCATATGTAGTATAAACAAGACTTTTCCATACTTCATAAATGGTCGTGTGTGTATACAGGCACCCTTGATTCCCTTATCAGCCGACAGTCCTGCCAAGACAGTAAGGGATCAATAGCAGGAATTTAAGAACTTGCCTTATATCAGTTCAGACCACTGGTCCGTCTAGTTCAGTACAGTCTACACTCACTGACAGTGGTTCTACATGATTTCAAGTTGTCCGGAGATGCCAGGGATTGAACATGGGACCTTTGGCATATTAAGCTTCTGCTGTACTATTAACCTGTGCACTCCTCACCCCACAAAGGAGCAAATGATCAGGGAAATATACAAATTTGTGCATGGTGTTGAGAAAGTGCCTAGGAAAACATGTCTCCATGTCTCATAACACTAGACTGTGAAGTCATCCCCTGAAATTGAGAGGAGATAATGGTTATAGTCAGCCTCAAGTAGCAGAGGTGGCATGGCTTTGTACATCACTTACTGACAAATGTGGGTGAGTGAGTGCCGTTGTACTAGCCTGCTGCTTGTGGGTTTTCTGTAAGCAGCTGGCTGGGCACTGCGTGAACCCTAGTCTTGATTCTGCATGGCTCTTCTTACTCATATGTTCAAATCAAAGTGTGTCTAGTTTGTGTCTGTGAACCAAGACAGTTTGCTTATTTATTTGGTTTATATGCTGCCCCACCAGCCATAGGCTCTCTAGGCAGCGTACATCATGACAAAATCCATATACAACATAATAAGCATGTCCTTGTCTGCACTGGAAGCTTTTATAGATTTTCAGCCATGGCACATACCCTGATCTCTGGCACTGATGTTCAAGAGGCTTCTTGCGAGCCTCCAAGAAACTCATTTTATGGTTCCTTTCAGAGGACTACAGGTGCAGAGTTCATGTCCCAAGTTTACCACTATTTTGTACTCTAATCCTGATAATGTGAAATAATCTAATTTGCAATACATACTTCTTCAATTGTGAAAGACCTCTCATAACTAGTTAATACTTTAGAATGAAGAGGAGTACCATGTAATTTGATCAACATGCAGTTGTTATATGCCATTAGATTTGCTCTGACTTTTGGTGACCCTGTGAATGAAAGTCCTACAGAATGTCCTGTCCTTGACAGCCCTGCTTAGTTGTTCTAAATTCAAGGCTGTGGCTTCATTTATGGACTCGCTCCAACTTTAATGCCCTTGAATACACTTTTACATTTTCAGTACAAGATAGTTTTCTCAAGAGACAGAGATAAATAGCCTTTTTCTTATAGTGCATTTTAGGGCTTTCTTCAAAATTCACTTGCTTTCCCTTAGCATACCCCAAACCCTCAAGCTATATTCTGTCATAGCTTGAACTTGGCAGGTGGGCTGAAATATCAGTGCAATCCAATATGTCAGCATGGGGCTTTCTCGTATCATATGTGTACTTTTTTATTAAGCAGGGGGATTTCATTCAGAAAACCCATTTAGCAGTAGACTGAAAATGGAAGTATTATAAAGCACTTAACTGTGTCTATTTTGCCACTGGCTAGTTATGTAGAACATTATGGGATGCTTGAGAATGTATAAAAGAGCTCATGGTTGTTTTACTACTTTCAAAATATTATTTAACATTTATTTCTCTTTCTTCTGTGAGCCTAAGCTTTGTAAAGCTACACTGAAATATATGAAAAATGAAATACTGTTCATTTTTTAAAAATAACTGCTCTGAAATGAGGGACATATGACAACCTGACCAGAGTCTAAGATGTCCTTAACAGACTTTTTGGAATCTAATAATCAAGTGCAAGGATCATTAACCAGATACTTTTTTCAAGTTTATGATTATTTTTAAAGCCTACATGTTTTTATCAACCTTTGTAACTAGAGCAGAAATAAAACCATTCCAGTTCAGAGGCAGTGTGTATACCAAAGACTATAGATCAACTGCTGTCAAATCCATTTTTATGAACTGTTTAATTATACTGTTCTCTCGCCTGTGCAAAACAAGCAGAGAACTGTTTAGTTGCTCTTCAATGTCAAAGCAGTACTTTGCATTTTATTTCTCTTGATTTGCAAAAGTATTTTGGGCTTGGAGTGGGCTAATACCATGCAAAGTTAACTGTTAAAACTATGCACAATTCTTGTTGTGCAAGATTTTTCATTTTGAACATGTCGCTGCAGTTTGTTACATTCTTCAGTTTATTTGTTGCATGTACTGTAGATTGTCTTTTAATATTAAAATTGTGTTAAAATTATTAGCATGAGATACTGCAAAGGCACTAATTTCTACCTTAAAATTGCAGAACCTTTTGAAGCAACAATACCTTCTGCTTAGAGAGCATGTTTGTGTATATAGAAGTGTTTACCCAATGACTTATTCACAGTTTGTTATGTTACAACCTGCAACTGAAACGGATTTAATTGCCATTTTTATTGCTTGATGGACAC